TTGAATCAAATAAACAAAACAGAAAAGCAAACACTCAATAAATTAATTAAGCAAAGCTTAATTTGTGTTTCCAATTAAAGCTCTAAACATTCAGACCCTCCGCCTTCATTAAAAGGGCAGCAGGTAAAAGAAACCACTAAGGAGCATCAGATTGAAATCGGCTTTGATAATAAAAACAGCAATCTCATGTACAAATAAAAAAACCTGGGTGCCTGGAGGAAGATGGAGGTGAACAGGAGTGTAAAAGGAGCATGCCAATTACCTGCAGAGCACAAACACTCTGCAGCCACGACTGAGAAGCTGAAGTACGGCTGAAAGCTGAATGTGAAGCAGCTAAATCAACAGATTCAAGCAGTCGTCAGCAGTGACTCCGACGTTTCTCAGGAGGCAGAGGAGTTCACTCCGCAGCATTTAAAGGCTTTATCCCTGCTTTAAAGAAATCACTTTTAAAAACTTGCTTTTCCGAGGAAATGGAACTCTGAAGGATCATTTTGTCTTTGCAGGCCTTGAAATGAGCTGTGGGTTGATTTTTTACTGCAATCTTTGAAGAGGAATAATAACTACAGAAATTACATTTCCTGCACAGTTGCTCAAGAACTTGCTGAAAAGTAGCTAAAATTAGCTAAAAAAAAAAAAGGCAGAATTTTAGCTGAAAAGGAATAACAAGCCTAAAAAATTAGAAGAAGAAAGCAAAAAGAACACAAATTTGCTGAATTCGGTTTAAATAAGCAGAAATGATGCCATGATGCGAAGTTGGGTCTCGGGAGCAGCAGCTCGAGCAGGGACAGAAATTATTAAATTAGATTAAAAAAAGAAAGGCTGAAATTAACAAAAAAGAATAGTTGAAACGGCAGAAAGAAGCTTAAGGAAGCGGAAAGAGCTGAAGAGCTTAAAAGAAGTGGAATTAGCTGTTAAAGCTAAATTTAGCATAAAACAGCTAAATAGTAGCTGAAATATTAGAAAAAGCAGAAACTTGCAGAAATAGGCTGACAAACTGAAATTATGGTAGAAGAAAAAATAAGAAGCACAAAAATCTTGTAGTTAGCCAAAAGAATCAGAAAGGAGCACAAAACAACAGAAAAAACAGCTGAAAACAGCTGAAAGCAGCTGAAAATGTTTAAATTTGCAGAAGGAAGCTGAAAGATGCTGAAGCAGAACAAAATGTAAAAGGAGCAGTTAAAGGTTGTAAACAGATCTAAAGATCTGAAGGATGGAAAATGAGCTCAATTCATTTTCTGTGAGAAAAAAATGGCAGAAAAGGCAAAATATTAAAAAAAAAAACTAGTTGCACCAAAACTCAAAATCATAGCAGGACTGTTCTGAAAGAGCTGAACGTTTTATGATTTTGAAAACTGCGAGACGATAAAGATTCATAAACATTCCCACAATGGTTACTGCTGGTGAGTTTCACAACAACACAGATTTCTCTGTTTTCAGCTGAATGAGCACAAAAAAACTTCAGTAACGACAAAACAACTAATCAAAAAACAAATAAATTGTTAAAATAATTAAATGTTTTCATAATTTGAAGTAATTTTGTTTCTAAATGTCATTTTTGTTTTCTTCACCCTGTGAAATGTTTGTTAGCAAAATTTCTCATCACTGGACAAATTTTACTGAAACTCAGAAACTAAAACTTCATCTTTGAAGATATTTTAGGTCAAGATGGCCGCTACAGCTTTTCAACCTGAGGATGTCTGTAACTCATGAACTTTACAGAAATAAAGCTAAAGTTTGGTGGTATTAGCTGAGAGTCATAATGCTCCAAACTTTAAAACATCTCAAGTTTTTTAAACTTTTTTTGAAAATCTGCCATAAAAACAAGTTTTTCTCTAAAATGTTTCTAAAGTTCTTAAATGTTTTCTGCAACATTTTTCCTGGATAGTTTTTATAAACTATTTTCCAGATCTGACTTTAGACGTCAGTAAAAGTGTAATAATTAAAAATGTTTTCTATATAATGTTTATTAAAATATATTTCTAAACTCAAAAATAATCAAAAAAAGGAGCAAAGACAGGATTTTAAATTCAGCATCAACGTTCATCTGTAAGAAACTTTGTTCAGAAACAGTTCAGCAGCTCAACGTTTCTGCTTTTTCTGTTTTCTCGTTAAAGTTTCGTCCGTTTGTTTCCCGTTCGGTTTGTAAAACTCAGTGAACGCGTCGGCTAATAAGAGTTTAAACGACTCTCGGCTCAAGAACCAAGTTAGAAAATAAAAACACAAAACTTTCTTTCAGGGTTTAAAAGTTCAGATGAACATAAATGTTTTATTTTCTATGGGAGTTGTAGAAAAATAGGAATAGTCACAAAAGAAATAAACATGCACAGAAAATGACAAATAAGGGGAAAAAAAAGAGATTAAATGTAAAATAAAATAAAATAAAACAATAAAAGCCTAAAAACTAAACATGAAAGACAATAATCAAAGATTTTGGCACCAAACATGAAGATTTATGTCAAATCAGAAATTAAACAAAAAAAAAAAAAAGGCAAATTAAAAAAAAATTAATTCATAATCTAATCGCTTTCAGATTATTATGGTTTTTATGGAAGAGGATTAGGGCCACAGTGCAAATTCTTTTATTTTTTTACCTTAATTCAGAGAAAAAAAAGTCAGAATTCTGAGATTGAAGTCATAATTTATGTAATTGTGACTTTTTTCCTCAAAATTCTTACTTTAATCTCAGAATTCTGATTTATTTTCCTCAGAATTAAGACAAATTAAATTATTGCACCGTGACCCTAATCCTCTTCCGTAAAGGTTTTTGATGTTTGCAAATACTAATAAACGATCTGAAGTTCTAGCGTTTGCTTTTGTTAGGCCAAACACTTCATTCCACAGAGGATACATGTGGAAACCAGAGATTAAATTATCTGAAAACTGCTTCCAATGAGGTGATGTCAGGTTTCGACCCGATCCTGGTTCTGATCCTCTCGATCGTGTCAGATCACAACAATCGTAACGTTCAGGTGCAACTCCTCCTGTTCGCTGCGAATCACATTAAACTCAAGATTTCTGCACAGGAATGAAAAAACTAAAAATCTAAGGCTGAAAGTAAAAAAAAACAAAAGTTAATTTTAACGAAAGACCACCATGAAAGGCAAGTTCCCAGGAATGTTTAACAATATCATGTAAACAGTAATAATCAATACTGGAAAAATGTATTAAAGACGCACGTTTCATTCCCACCAAGTTTTCCTCACGAATTCAACAAAACAAAACACTTTTCAGAACAAAGATCTTCTTGCAGGAATAAAAACATGTCCTGAAAGTGAAGCATTGCTTCATGGGAAATGTAAAGTGCATAATCTTCAACGAACTGAAACGCGTCTGGTCACCCTCGTACTTTAACTAAAACAAACTCAACATTCTGCCCTTTCCATCTGGTCTGAGTTGCGTTAGCGTGAAGGTAGTCGAGGTAAATAAATGTAGATTCTGATGCTCACGCGTGGCCATGAATCAGACATTTAGGAGCCTCAGCATCGTCTTCTAACCAGGAAGTGTCAGTTGATCACGGAGCAGACGGATAATTACAAACAGAACAGGGTTTTTGCTCCGGATGACTACGAACACAACAAAACAAATAAATCTGGACAGCAGAGACACTAAAACTACAACTTGTGCTGCTCTTTGGCTGCGCTGCCGTCCAGGACTGATGCAGGGAGAAATGAGGAGGAAATCACAGACGGTGGTTTGAACAGGAAGTTTAGGGTCACTGACGGGGTCAGGGAAGCTGAGTGAAGCGGACCCGCTCATCTTCCTCACAGACTGTAGATCCGTTAAAGGCCGACGGAGGCGTGAAGACGGCGCTCCGGGTGAAAGCTACAGGCGTGAGTTTGTGCTGATAAACAGGGACGTCGGCGGATTCATCAGACGGAGCTTCGTTGTTCATGAGGCGGACGTCGCCGGCTGAGGGATGGAGACGCGTCAGCCACAAAGACCGATCATCCCGACACGTTCATTTCTCACCTCGTGTTCTCGTCTCGTTACGGAGCCGTGAAACAGAACACGGGTCGGGCTGTGACAGCCGGTTTGTCTTGGTCTCCCTTTAATACAGGTTTATTGGACAATTAAGCTGCAAAGTTCCTGCAGCTCCTCGGAGCCTGAACACTTCCATTAGTTCAGCTGCTGGCATTTGAAAGAGCCACTTCAGACACACTGAAGATTGTGAACAGTTAATATCTTACCTGTTGTGGATAGCTCTATGAACAACCTCAGTTTAAAGAAACAAAGCTGAAGAATGACCAGATAAATGAGACCAGAGTGGACCGCTGCCGTCTCAAAGCAACTCCACGGTCCAAAGTGTGTTAGCAGTTAATGCTAATCACACCTTGACAGTCAGTTTCAGGGGCGGCGGTAGCTCCGTAATCCTGAGGTTGTGGGTTCAAACCCAGGTTGCGTCAGGAAGGGCATCCGGCGTAAAACAACAGTTACATCTTTCATGCGAGTTCGCTCGCTGTGGTGACCCCTGAGGAAGGGAGCAGCCGAAGGAAACTTGCACCGTCATCAGTTTTACACAACACAGTTCTTTACATACAAATTGAGTTATGTGAAGGTGCAGCTAGCAACACATGCCTGTAGCATGTCAGATGCACATCCAGCAGCAATATCACATTTTTATGTGAAACGTGGCGTAAACGTTCGTAAATCAGTTTATGACCTTTATAATTTGGGGGTTATTTTAAGCTAACTCAGTTTAGCCGTTAGCGTTGTCAGAATTTAACCATTTTTCTAAACTGAGGATGTTCAAAGAGTTATCTACAACATAACTTTATCACAGAACGTCACTTCAAAAGATCGGAACTATTCCTTTAATGTTTATAGTAACGGCACATTCCTTCAACCCACAGGTCCATGAAGTTCTTCCATCAGTGGAAATTAGAAAAATAAAGTTGCAGCTTTGATGTTCATCACAAACTTTCCACAGAAATTAGACAAGTGAGAGGTAGAGGGTCTAAACTTCCTGTTTGGATGATGCTGTGGGTAGTTTTTCTCTCAAGATGTTTCAGCGTAAAAAAAAAATCATAAAAACCTCAGACTACCAGCTGTTTTCTGTCAAAAAATTATTTGTTTATAAATTCCCTTTCCATCCTACCGTCCACCCCTCAAACTTCTATAATAAACTGTTGGTCCCTTTCAACAAATGTGATAAATTACTTTAGATGACGACTAATTTAAACAACTAATGTTTGGTAAAAAAAAAAAAAAAAAATGAAATAAAGGCACTCAGTTTGTAGAGCAGCAGTAAGGCCTCGCAGCAAAGAAACTGGCCGTACGAGAAGGTTTTCATGGAGTTCTCATTTCTTGGTGTCCGTCAGGATGATGTTTGCTGTAACAAACATGAGACAGAAGACAGCCCAGATGATTACGAACCACACCCAGAAGGCGTGGTGGAAGGGGGACTGGTGCTTGTTAATGGCATGTCTGTCCATCACCGGCTCCAGATGGCGCCTGGCGTAAAACACGAGGAAGGCCGGGATGATGTACTGGATTCCCGTTCCGGCGTAGGCCCCGGTGATCCCCACCAGTGACTCCAGGTTGTGGGTGCAGAAGGCCACCACGATCGGGGGTACCAGGGTTATGAGCGGAAACACAATTCTGTCCACCACCCACGGGTAGGTGCCTCCGTCTCGGTGAAACAGGGTCTTCCAGTTGTTCCGAAGCGTCACGGCGATGATGGGGAAGTTGGTGCTGATGGTGAACACGGGGAAGAGGCCCAGGAAGTACCGCAGCATGGCGATATCCAGCACGTCGCAGTTGTCCGTGAAGTTCAGCGTGTACATGTCGTACAGCAGAGAGCTGTTGAAGCAGAAGATGGCGGTGAAGGAGAGGAGCACGTAGAAGGCCAGGATCAGGACGTAGTCTGCCAGCACCAGAGCGCTGACTCGTTTCTTCTCGGAGATGGGCGTCACCAGGGAGGGCAGCGAGTGTTGGCACATGAAGGAGTAGACGCACACCCCGAACAGGTTGGGGACGCCAGCCAGGTTGGCGATGGGTGGGCGGCCCTCGCCGGTGCCTTTACCGATGCGGATTAATGCCAAGATGATCATCATGGTGAACGCTGGGGGAAAAAATAAAAAGATAACTAACCACAAACAGTTTGATAAACGAGGCTTCACCTTGCAGACATAAAGTTTCAATATAAAACATTATCTGTGAAGGTGATGATGAAGCAGGTGTGTAATCCGACACGTCCTCAGTTTTACAATGTTTTTATGTGATATGTTAAATGCAGTTTATTTCATTTTGTGGAAAATAACCAGATCTTATTCTAGTGTAGAGTGGTTACGGTGGGGGGAGGGATTAATCTGCTGTAAGTTTAGTTGTATAACGGAGCATTTTAGGCAGATTAAAATTCAGAACTTCACACACTCCAGTTCTGAATTAAGAAAGCTCCCCGGATTGGAAGTGAATGTTTTCAACTACAGAAGACCAATTGTTTTGTTTATTTTATTTTATTACTTTTTTTGGAAAAGCTTTAATTGTTTAAAAAAAAATAAAAAATTTCCCCCCACAAACCTTGATTTTAACTTAAAAATCTAAAAATGTGGCACAAAAGTGTTTAGTTTTTTTTTCTAAAAATGTTTTTTATACCATTTAAATCCAGGTTAAGGTTTGTTTGAAAGTTCATAAAATAGTTTCTTCTCCAAATAAACCAAATGTGTTTCGTTTGAACTTAAGATGTTTGTTTTTGTGTTAAACCGTCTTTAAATGTACAGCACTCTCCATGTGGATCAGTCAGAGCTGCTCTCTGTTCAGACATCAAGCGTTTAAAACTAAAAACTGCAACAGAGCACGGTCCGATGGAAAACAGGCGTGTTGGCCCATCTCCAATTGATCTCTGGAAGGAGATGCATCTCTGGAAGGCAGAAGAAGTGAATGGAAGGACTCCTGAGCGCAGCGTGGAGTCCTGTTAGGGCCCGACAGTCATCTCTCCTCCACACACACACACACATGCACACACACACACACACACACACACACATATGATCAGCACGTGACTGCAGGAGTTAGTTATGGCCTTAGCATGGCCGGCAGCCAGCTCAGCTTTCATCTTCGGCTGTCCTTTAAATGTGCGGTGACATTTAGGAAGTAACACTTGAACCATGCACTGCCACACGTGCACAACTTTAGCGTGAACCTCAACACCTCCATTCTCTCTAACTGGTTGTGGCTGAATGTGACATTATGCTGCCTTTGAAGGAAATGATTCAAGATTATAAATAAAGTTGTGGGTCGAGAAACGGTCTAGCGTGGACACTCAGACGTTCTAACGAGATCAACTCAAGCAGTGCGCTGATGTCCCTCGGCTGATGTCCCTCGGCTGATGTCCACCGGCTGATGTCCACCGGCTGATGTCCCTCGGCTGATGTCCCTCGGCTGATGTCCACCGGCTGATGTCCACCGGCTGATGTCCACCGGCTGATGTCTACCGCTGATGTCCACCGGCTGATGTCCCCATCGCTGAGGAGTGTGAAGAGTGAATTTTTGTAGTTTTGGAGATGAGTGTTTTTCTGAACAGGGAGTGAAGTAAACCTCAATGTTTTTGGTACGAAATAGTCAAGTGGGTAGGAGTTGCACGGTGTAGAAGAGGAGACGTAGACTTTCTTCTTGTCTGAGGCAGCACAAAGTGACGGATGATGGCGAGTTTAGCGAGCAATTTTATCTACCAGGAGCAATGGCGGAGGCAGAGGGTGACCAATGGTGTCCTTGGCCATCAAAGATTATTCTTGGGCCACCCCAAACATTTGAGGAAACTATACTTTTTTTTTCTTCAAATGATTGGGGTGGCCGGCCTACATATATGAACAGATGTGGCCGTCCATGTTTTTGATCGTGACCTTTCTTACACCTCGATGCAACCACACACCAAAATGGAAGATGGTACCTCAATTATTTTTCCAAATTATCCAGCTCACAAGACGGACGAACAGAGGGCATTTCCAATTCTCTTTGCTTCCCAACAGGGGACAAAAACAAATGCATCCAGATTATATTTTAAGACTTTAAAAGACCAGTAATTTGAAAGACATCCATCTTTACCCGTATGATCTGTTAAAAAGGAACTATCAAAAGCAGAAACAGCCCACAGGTCCAGGTAGGTACATTCTTCATATCAGAGTAGATGTCAGCACTCCCTCGGTGTGTACAAACGGTTGCACAACTATTCAATATTTGATGCATCCTTGGACTCCATCCAAGGTAATCTCAGGCTCCGAGGAAAGCTCTGCTACTCCCAATTTAAACGTTAACCCTCTTCTTACGGAGGGGTCAAAACGATGGGCGACAGACCAGCTTTCAAGGACAACGACACAAAAAGAGCTTCTCATCAGTTTGTGTCATTTGACGTCATAAACCAGCCTTTTGTTTTCTGTAGGTGAACAAATCCAGGACGGAGTTATTTTGAAACGTTTTTACTGGAACACGTTTGAAATGTGCGGCAAAATCTTCACCGTAGCTCCTCTTGCTGCTTCAAACTCTCACGTTCGCCAACACACAAGAACTGCTCATTTTTTATATCATTTTATAGTGAATATACTGTTTAAAGAGTTACAAAACACTAATTTATGGTTTTATAAACATATTTAAAATACTTCATGTAAAAAAAAAAAAAAAGTCTTTAAACTTTCTGTCTTTCTTTGTGATCTTAAAAACAAAAATATAAAACAGGCTGCCAACATCTTATTTGGCCCATTGACCAACGACCCGCCACGAACTCATTCCTTCAGCTGAAAAGAAGGTTCTACCTGCAGATACCTGCCAGCTTATGGTAATTTGATGCACTTTTACAGAAACCCCCCAGCGCTTGACATGCAACAAAAGGAGGAGGTGTCAAAGTGCCACATATCACGTCCACATACCCAGTGCCGTCCATTCCTCAGCCTGTGATTTATATCACCAGTAGGACGACGACAATGACCTTGTGAGGAATGCTTCAACTTAACGACCCCCGGAGGAAACTCTTACAGCTCTATCGTCTGACAGAAAACATGGCAGCGAGTGGTTGAGGCAAAGCTAAAGAATCACTGACTGCCTCGAAGACAAGACACTCCGCTGCAATCGAAGCGATGAGGATCTCAGTTAATTAAAGCTTAGAAAAGGGCAGAAGGTGAAAGGTCATCCATCTCCTGCGCAACAAAGCGGAAGAATCTGCGAGTCAGGAGGTCTCGGTTCAAACTGACAGCCGCTTGGAACGTCAACGACCTCTCAGCTGTTTTAATGTTCAAACGAGCAGCAATTTAAACATCAAGGAAAATCACAGCGCCTTTCACTTGTGCCGCTGATCAGGTTTGATTGTCAAGACACCCCCCCCCCCAGTGTTCTCAAAGCATTGAAATATTCTGGTCATTAATTAAGACAGGCACTCCTTCAGCACCCTTGGATAATCTCAGTGGTAATTAGCAGCACCGGCTCTTTGCCCAGTTCTTACCAGGATTTCTTAGCACAGCTCTGTCATTTAGAACCAAACAGGACTGGAAATGCTGGCCTGTTGTTTTTTTTGGGGTGGGGGGGGGGGGGGGGGGGGGGGGGGGGGGTGCACTACATTGTAACAAATCCTGTAATATAAGGTAGGACTATCAGGAAATACACAGCAGGTGGCCCACAGTTTATCAGCTAAAACTGCAGCTCACATTCCAAAGAACGAGTCAGCAGATTTACAAGACTTCATTAAAGTTTTCAAACAGGAGCAAGT